GTAAAACTGGATCTCCATAACACTTTCAATCTTAATGCTCCATATGCAAAATATGCATTGGAAAAAAAATCCTTATGGAAAAATTTGAATGTATTTAATCCACTTTAAACTATAAAAGGATGTACTCATGATGCATTCGTTTTAATTAATATATGTAAAACTTTTAAATAAAATTTTAGCATGTGTAGAGATGTAACAATGTGTATGGTGTGTATACGCGTTGTTGCAGGCATGCATCTGCTTGTGTGTGTGACCTTGCAAGGTCGTTGGACCATCTGCTGTTTCTTGCTTGCAGCAGGGTAGCAGGGCTCCGGGCCCCAGTAGGGGGGCTCAGGCTGGGGACCAAGGGACACAGCTGTTGGGATTAGCTAGTCTGATTACTACGCTGGATTAGCCCACTCTGCTCATCTCTCTCTCTTTGTCTCTACATTTCTCTACCGTTATCTCTCAGTAAATGTATGAATTCAATAGGTTCTGCTGCCAAATAATCTGATGAACGGCTTCTATCATTGCTGGGTAAGGGATGCTGATAAGAGTTATTTTTAACAGACGATAATGAGTTGGATGTCAAGATATTTGTATCACTTATCCATATCAGCCTTGAGATTGATGCGAAGGCTTCTTGTCTTTTTATTTAACAAAGTGAGCAGACATGAAAAGGGAGAGAATCAAGATATCAGACATGAGGAAGAAAATGAACAGTTGGCATAAAATCTTTTTGGAAGAAATAGACATTGACTACAACTATCCTGAGGAAGATTCTCTTATAACTATGTGCTGTCGTTTTAATCAAACACTAAAATGATTGGTATGTAATAACATAAATCCACTAAGAAAAATCTTAATCCCTAAACCACATAAAAACAAAGGGACAAGGAGAGATTAACTCTCAGTCATCTGTGTTGTGATCTGTCCAAAACCCTCAAAATAAACAAAAGCAAGAAACAAAACTGATAATCCCAATTTAGAGTGAAAGCCCTCCTGTCCATCTGTCTGTCCTTCAGCTTCATCTGTCCATCCCACAGAGACAATTGTGTAACTTTAGATCTTCACAATGACTGCCCACCCCCTTCAGGTCTGAAGGATCTATACTTTATGTTGCGTGAATCTAGTTAAACATTGTAAATCTTGGTTCGTTGGCGCTCATAGTGAACATGGCCTCTTGCAACTGTGTGAGAGAGGACACCATAGGACTCATCATCAGACAGCTGGTCACACAGAGACATGCAGATGTGCGTGCATGCACAGTCATACAGCTGCTGACTGCACAGCTGTCCGAAAAAACCATTAGCAGATCAGATTCTTAACGTGTGCATGTGTCTCTGTAATTTCAAGGGAGGATCTGTTGCATCCAATGGATACGAATGAATTGGAAATAATTAAAGAAAGATAAGAAAAAAATAGTTGAATATTGTGACAAATAAAAATCTAATGTAGCAATGTATTTCTTGATTTTAACAAACATTTATCCATTGAGGCTATGCAGTGTTATACTCAGGCTTTGGTGTATTCATGCAGGAACATGCACACATGCTCACACACTTCACAAACGTACACACATCTCCAGGACAACACCCTGAATTAGTCATGTTGTTGTAGTCAGGCAACCTAACCCTTCTGAGTCAGCCTCATTATGGGAGTCCATCAACATGTTACAGTTAGAAAACTGTGAGGCTTATAAATCACAGTACTAGTAATGTGATCTTGTTTTAAAGTAATGTGTGATAGAGACAGGACTGACCTTTACATTTTATTAGCATTACACAGGCTCAGGCCTCATCCTTCGCTTCACACTTGTGAAGAGAGAAGCTGCATGATTTTCTTTTTTTGCTGAAGCACAAGAAGTCTGGATTCTGTCCTTCACTAGAACTCTCACTAAGGACATTGTCCTCATTACAGCAGATATCTATTGATCAGAAACCATCAATAGGCCTGATGAAGACAATGGAGGGTCATTTCAAAGAGTCACCATATTGACCTTAATTGACCCCTAGCCCTCAGAGGCACAACATCCCATGTGGCTGTGCAGGCGGGGAGACCACTCGGTAGATCAGACCCCGTGTGGACACGCTTTCCTACTGGTTCCTGCAACGTGTGGGACAGATCAGTCGTGGTACAGTTCAGCCTATCAGCATCAGGCAGCAGGTGCAGTGGGGAGGGATGCGCAGCACTCTGCACCAAACTGAGGGCTGGGCCTCTGCAGAGGCCACACACATCCTTCTTCCACGAACAGCCTCTAACTTCTTCTCTTTCCTCGCACAAGGGCCAATATGAAAGCACACGCTGTTCTAAACCTTTACTCCAGGACATAGGTAATTAGTAAGTCTAATCAAAGTCTTAGAGTGAACTCAGTGTTCACAGGAGCTTCTCCACAGACATGCTGCATTCAGAGCAGCTCCGCCATTCCCCCTGTCCCCAGTCTGCATGACCTTCTGACAAAGCCTCACTGCTACTACTACTCTCTCATTTGTCTTTCATCCCCGTCTCTCCTCCCATAGTGTCCTACCTACGCCACACACCTCTCCATCCTTTCCTCCACCACGACATTCACCCTTCAGTCAATGTCCTATAGAGGATCATCCACCCAACCCCATTCATCTTCCCCCTATCCCGTCTGTCTCTTGACCCCCCCCCTGTTAACCAATCCCACAAAGCAGCACGAGGAAACAGGAGCCATGGTAATGTGAGCCTCAGGTCATTATCCTGTAACAGGATATGCAGCCAGGCCACCTTCCCCCCTCAACACACCTCCTCCCTCACTCTAAATCCCTCTCTCCGTCTCTCTCTACACCTGCAGACCGGTCCCTACGGTATCTGCCCTTCCCCTCTTGCTCTCTCAGCGGTGGCACCATCCCCCCGTCAGTGTCACGTATCTGAAGGTGAAAACCAGAGGCCCATGCATGTGTGCAGCCCTTCATCACCATCTCTCCTTACATCCACACCAGCTATACTGCACCATGGAGCTGCATCACTGCAGAGAGCAGAACCATGAGCTGAGAGGAAATGTGAGACGTTTTTAAAAAGTTTAGAGTAATATCTGAATCTGTGCTATAGACTACATGTTCTCTCTCAGGTATTTCTGATGGAGGTTTTGCTCTACAGCATCTCTGCAACTCGGTCCCTTCTGCGTGGCTTATCTTTCCAGCCTATCACAGTTCTTTACAGGGAATTTCCACAGCACAGGCCCCGCCCCCGGTTTGACGCAGCAGGCGCGTCGCAAGCGGTGCCCACTGCGGCCTTGGGAAAGGACAGATGGCGGTGCCATCACACAGTGCGCCAGTGCGAAATTCGGACGGAGAGAGACTGGGAGATTGTGAAGCGACCGCATTTGTAAAAAGATGCCCCGATGCGCACGCATCCATTCATGTCTCCACCCTCTCATCCATCCCCTGTCACTCTCAGGGTCACCTCAGAGCGCATTTATCATTGAGGCCTAATGCAAATCTCTGGAGAGCCGCGGATATCTCGCGAAATGACAGCCCACCTCTACTCGGCGTCACCTCATCACACTGTTAAAATCTAACTTCCACACGGCAGCAGTACATGCGCAAGCACTTTTGTGCGACCCTATCCTCTTTGACGCAGTGCCCTCTGATGATGGCGGGATGGCTTTCACATGCAGCATCAATGGATACCCTGTCAGCCACCGCAGCCCACCCCTCCCCCATCCCTGAATCCCACTACATCCCCCAGCAGAGATACTGCAGGGGGGTGGGGGTGGAGGGGGGGGGGGGGGCACATCATCTTCATCAGCTGGTGTCACTGCGATGTCACCGGTTTGCGCTGCCCAGAGGACGGCAGATGTCTCCCAGCATCGCTCGGTCCTCTCTCCGCAGCGTCACGCCACCGCATCATTCAGTGCACAGAGCGGAGAGAGGGATTAAAAATTACAACTCCTTCCGCAGGATGGCGATGAAGCAAAAAAAAAAGATGGAGCGAAAGTTGCGCAATGCCTGCAAAACGACATCTGCACCATGGCGTTTCCAGTGGCGCTGTGCTCTGCAGCAGCATCAGCCACTGGCTCATGTACGTGCATCTGATAAGTGTATCTGGCTAACTCGATCAGCTGGGGTTTCATGGTTTCACTGTGCGCGCATCACATGCAGCAGAAGCCCCCTCTCCAAAGTCATCCACACAAATTTGACTCTCATCGTCGTGCTGCTGCTGCATAGACGCATCGTGTGATTAATCTATAGTGTGTGTGCGTAAATGTGCTCACTGCTGGCGATTAACTAGTCCCCTGTTATGTCACAAATTAAAGGGGGAAATAAGCTGGTGAGGCGCTTATTCCCGGTAACCGCATTATGACGCATGGGTCGTCGAGGGTGCCGAGGATGAGACTCCGCGACGAGCTCGACGGCATCTTCTTCTCCTCTCCACCGGCACATGCCTCTCTCGGGTGGCCGGGGAGAGGGCAGGAGGAGAGGGGGATGGAGGTCTATGATTAGGGAGGCGCATGGAGGAGGTCACAGGACAGTGGGCGAAAGTCTTCGAACAAGTATTTTTGTAGAAAACCTTCAAATATAATACATCATTTTTTGAATCACACGTGATGGGTGAAGCGCACAGGGACATCCACACCCTCTCTCCCTGTGAAAATAAACCGATTATGGTCTACTATTCCTGGCAAGGTTACAGTCAGAGGAAAGGCCTGACATCCATAGGACAACCACACACACACATTCCCGTTATTTCATCTATTTATCATTGGACGACTCGTAAATCAGAATAATACAGATTTTCTACGCAGGACACAACCAGGAGGCTACAGTCGAGTCAAATATCGGCTACATCCGTTTGTCGCAAGCTACAACACAGTTCCGCATTAGAGTCAATGTCACTCAGACAAACCGGGATTTCCATAACGGAGGTGGGGGGAGGAAAAAAAAAAAGAGAGAAAGGGCCGTCGGTGTGGATCTCTCCCCGCATGTCAGGCTCGTCTCAGGCCACTTCAGAGGGACTAACAACGCATGTGATAAAGTTGGAATGGTCGCTCTTACCCCCATGATGGCGCAGTCACTCTTCTTCTCCTCTCAGGTGATGCACGGCTTGAGAGGTGTCAGCCCCTCACGGTGTGTTTTGGTCTAAATGCCTCTGCGTTGGAAAACACAAGAGATGCTCAATGGTTTTTCAGCCTGATTGGAAACGAGCAGGGAAAAAAAAAAAAAAGACGTCAGGGATTTTTTTTTTTTTCTCTATTGGTCTGTTATTCTTTTTTTCTCCCTGGGTTTAAATGAGTGGTCTCTCAAACCTTGTGAGGCTACAGCTACAGCGTCTCTCCTCCTCTGTCAGATGAAATGTTGCGGTCTCAAGCGGAGCATCACGCATGGGCACGCGCTCCTCCTCTCCGTTGCTCTCCTGCGGTGAAAGACCAAACGCACTAACCGGGCCGCAAAACTACCTCTCGCTCCCTCCGCAGCCTCTGCCTCGCTCCTGCCGCAGTACTCCGTTGCTTTGGCTGCACCACTCCGCCACGAGAACAAGCGCCGCCTCGAGCGAATGATAGAGGCGAGGGGCCGCCCTCGCACCCTCCCACTTCTCTGCGACGCAGCCAATCGTAATTCGGAGCGTCTCATTGATGATGTGATCACCGGCCAATCGGTGTAAGCCCATGCTCGGCGCGGGCCAATAGGAAGGCAGCTCTGCCCCTCCTGCGTTACTGCAGATTTCCGAGGCGTACAGCCAGCAGCGGCGAGAGTCTCTAGGCTGAGATGTTGTAGAAATGGACGCGCAAGGTTAGACTCTTAGCTGTCGTGATTGTGTCTGTTCATCGTGTAATGTATTCATGTAACATAAAATGGTGGATATGTGTGCGTTATTGCATGTGATAAGCACCCCTGGGTGTCTCCATCAGTCGTGTTGGTCCTGTCTGCAGCATGCTGTGCACCTCACTAGTCAAGGGCCTGGGTGCAGCTCACAGAGGAGGCAGCAATACAGTCACAGTGTGTGTGTGTGTGTGTGTGTGTGTGTGTGTGTGTGTGTGTGTGTATGTGTGTGTGTGTGTGTGTGTAGTTGGAAAGAATAAGGATGAAGCCAGAATCATACATGATCCTATTCCATCACATTTCAGCCATCGGACCATCTCCACATATCACAGCCTGCAACCTGACTGTCTCCATCAGCAGGCGCAGAGTTGTGTCTGTGCAGACTCAGCATTTTAAACTGATGTGGAGAGTCTGGCATTCAACAACAAAAGGTAGAATTGGGTGTACATTTTCTCAGTGGAAGTAAAACAAAATCAGGAATCAAACCAGACTTGTTTCAGCACTGTAAATATTTTCTCAGTGAATGCTCAGACTCGTTGGAGCTTTAACTTTGCCTGGCATTTACGAGGGTGGTTGTAAAAAATGCGTTGACATTTGCGAGGGACAACTGAAAGTATCCTCACAGAGAGAGGAATGGAGCAGTGAAACAAACTATGCTGCATTCTTCAAACACTGGCTGGAGAAAGAGAGTGGGGACAGACATGGCCAGACAAAGACAGAAAGGCAGGTTTGCCAAGGGCAGGAGTAGTGTAGTTTGAGAGAAGAAGATATGAGGACATGAAAGAAAAGGGGTATGGACAGATTGTGTATTTTTACAGAGGACATGAGCAAACAAGGAAGTTGGCCCATATGCAGAAGTGAGTTGCCTTTGCAGGCCTTTGTTCACGTTTCTGCTCTGTGCTCTTTACAGAGGGGACGATGCAGCAGTGTGAGCACACACACACACACACACACACACACACACACACACACACACACACACACACACACACACACACACACACACAGGGATGTCGTGCGTGCCTTCCCTGCAGCAGATTGTGGCCATGCCTCACTGGCTTCGTTGCTGTGGGCCCAGACGATGACCGCGCAGCACCATAAGATCCCAGAGCATCAGAGCGGGGTTAGCTCAGGGTTAGAGGAGAGTCAGTTAAAACAGCTCCTTCAAACACGCTGCGATACTGCAGTTGTTTTTTATTATTTATCTGAAATAAGCCGGATGATTTATGAATGGGTAAGAATTCAACGTTGCAATGACTAATCATTTTCTTTGTGGAGTTTTTATAAATTTACTGGAATTCACTTAAACGTACTGACATTTCTGTGTTTGAATCAGGTCTGGTTTGAAAAATGGTTAAATGGTAAGCTACTGCAGGTAAATTCATATCAATGTGGATTGTTAACCTTCTAAACACTGATTTGCTGTGGTATGCTAGTACGACAGAAATTTAATTGTAAAGTAACATGAAAATATGCACACACATAATTTAATAATAAAGACTATGCTGTTATAGTAAACACACAGATGTTACTAATGCATCTAAGTGATATGGGTTGTTGTAATAGAACTGTGTTATTACAGGAAGTACCACAGGAAATCGTAGTGTATTTTTACTCCCTCTAGATATGCTGCAAATACCTTTTTCTCTGTTTAATTATTATTGTTCGAATTATTTGATTATATTCTACTTTTGCAGAACTTTAAATCTATTTATTATTTATGAATCATTGTTTTTATTCAAATCTTTATGACATTTTCTAGGATGGGGGTCCAATTTCAAGGAATGTTCTGCTTTATAAAAATTTAAAACTAAATAAAAAGCTCCCAAAAAGTGTATTTAAACAGCTAGAGCATCAATCACCACTATGACAGGACAAAATGTAATTCAACCTTTTTTGGATACCATTTCCAAATTCCTTCCAAGGTTATAAGAACTCAAAATAGTTATATTTTTTTTATGCAAATAAACCCCTAAAATTTGAATATGGATGTGAAGATTAAAGATATACAGAGGATGTGAAAATCATGAAAGTCTCCTGCTTGCTGAAGCTCATGTTATCTGTGATCATAACACTTCCTGCCTGAATCAGTTTATAATATAACAGAAAGTCCCACAGATTTCTTAGATTCCTGCACTAGAGAGACATGTATATACCATGAAGACAGTCAGGACTAAATATAGATTTGATCCTGAAGCCCACACTGCTGCACATGAGGGTGACTTTGTCACTGTGGTGCTGTTAATAAAGTTCTTTTAAATCTCATTTCAACCAAAATGGCCGCCGCTAATATCCTTTCTTAACCTCTGTCATTCTTTCATGTTTCTCGCTCCTTCCTGCCCCCACCACCACCCCTCCACACCTCCCTGCCTTGCAGCACAAGAAAGAAAGGATGGAGGGGGGAGTGAGTGAGTGAGTGAGGGAAAAATCCCCCAATTCTCAGTCTCCACAGCAACAGCAGTCAGATGACCTTGTCTCTGACTCGTTCTGCTGAGTCAGAGATTGAGGGATGGGGGGGTGCAGGGAAGGGAGAATATGGAGAAAGAAAGAGAGGGAGGGAGAGAGATGACACACAGATGAAGCCGGGTGCTTATTCTAACGGATTCTGCTCATGTGGACTGTGCTGTGTCGTAGTAATCTACATGAAGCTGTGTGTCTTGAAGAGCGGCGGCTGACCCAGAGACAGTCGTGTGTGTGTGGTCAGTGATTTTGGAAAGTATGAGCTGTTCCTTGAGTCAGAGCAGCACATGAATATCATATGTCATGAGGTTGTATTGTCATAGGCCACGGGAGAAGGCTTAAGGAAAGCATGTGTAAATCTGACTAAAATAGCTTGTGTATGTGTTGGCGTATCTATGTATATCACAGACTTTATGTAAAAAGACACATCTCCACTCCCTCCCACTCTCCAGAAATGAAACTAAAATATCTCAGATATGAACGCTGCCATCTTGGGCATTTGGAACCAGAGTTTGATTTACTTTGACTTTTTAGTTTGGCCAGGTCACATCCCTTAATAATGAGGATGCTGGATTTATGGCCTGTACTTCAGACAACAACCAGATGGTAATTGAGATGCTCTGGCTTCACTTTTAGGGAGGTGTCATGTCGTCCATCTTTATATACAGTTTAAGATGTATACATACGCTTTGTGGCAAATATAATGTGGAAACTCACACATTATATGATTGTGACTTCTGTACACTAATGAGGAGCAATCATCTTAAGTCGTCCCAAAGTTACTGCAAAAGGTGAAATTCAGGACTCTGTGCAGTCAAGCTATTCCATTAATAACTCAAAAGAAACTATTTTTGGACCTGGCTTTTTTGCACAGGGACAGTGGATTACGATTTTGTTTTTGCAGGAATTTAGGTGCCTATCTTAAACCATGGCAGTCCCAAAATAGCATGGTGCTTGAAGAATGCATAACTCCACCCAGGCTAATTCTCTATCTCGCCATGTTACAGAAAGTGTAATAGCTTCTTCTTTGGGTCATGTGCCACCCTTCCACAAAATATTATGGAAATCGGTTGAGTAGTAGATTAGTAATTATGCTAGCTGACAAACAGCATGGAAACATATGAACTCCTGGGCAGACAGGTGTCCACATACCTTTGGTTATGTAGTTCATCTTCAGACAGTTAAAATAAGGTTTTTGTGGGAAGTAATTTCTATTTGTGTGTTTCTGTGCGCATATGTGTGTTTGCGTGAAGGTGATCCTGGCTAATCCGGTTTTATAAATGACATAATCTGTGTTCCACTCACAGTGTCCAGAACAGGGACAGGGGAGGGAAAAAAAAGGTGGTGATAGAAGGAGAGAGTGAGACAGGAACAAAAAGAGGAGAGGGCTCAGATCACAGGGGATGGATGATGGAAAGGCACATGGGGGTTATGGAGGATGACAGAAATTACGTATGTGTGGGAAGAAGGGAGGGGATGAAGAGGAGAAGAAATGAGTAAGACAGGAGGAATGGGAAAGGTGGTGGTGGAAAATTCCTCTGGGATTTAGAGTGGAAAGAGTGACACAGGGGCATCATTGAGGGTTTGATTGTCATGAAATGGCAGATGTGGGGTAAGAGCCAAGGGAAAGAAAAGTAGGTACACGGGGAAGGGTGGAGACTGTAGTCGGATGTGTGATGCAGATAAGCAACAGAGGAAACAGGACTCTGTCAAAATAAAAATCAATTAATGTCTGCAGAATAATGGAAAATACAGACACGTGATTGTTGTCTAGAAACGGAAAAAGAGAAAGAATGATTCATTCCATCAGTATTTGCTTGGATAAAAAGTAAACCAATAAATATGTCTGGAACATGTGACCTTCTACACTATACAGTACATTTCATGTTATCATCCTCCCACTATTGTAAAATATGAGACAGTATGGTTAACTGTTTTCGGTTTACAATAAAGTATACTGCAGCATTAACTTTAAAAAATCTTTTTCCTCTGGAAAATCCAATCTAGTCATGCCATTATAGCAAAATTCCAACATGGCTGGGGACATTGAGGTTATATCTGATATGTATTATTTGTAAACCTGGGATAGTTAACATTGCAAAACCAGAAATATATGCATCCTAAATATGACATGATTGTTTTACAGCAACAAAAAAGAAAGTGAGGCAGATTTCATAGAGGCAGATCAAATCAACATGGGTGTGGGTCTATCATGGGTATAAGGAGCCTCTGAGGTGTTTATCCCTGAGAGTT